AAAAAGAAAGAGCAGAGGCTTAAATCCAGTCACTTATCCTGGCTAAGTCGCCCACCTTCTCCGAGCCTGTTTCCTCACTTACAAAATGAGAAATATCAACGCCGTAAAAGATAAAGCACCAGGCACATAACTGGTGTTCAGTAAATGGCAGCTGCCTTCCCTACAGGCTATTTCAAGAAGATCACTAAGGCACTCTTTGATGTCTCAGATCACTTCTTTATGAACACCAAATTTACATACTAGTACTAATTGCCCAGCTGGAACTAAAAAGAGAGCCCCGATCTTTTAGCCTGAGGAGGAGAACAAGTAAGATGACATTTATATGTGGGTATAACCAACCCCATGCGCTCTGGAAGTGGAGTTCGGGGAGGGGACGGAGAAAAACTGGCTTTGTAGTCCCCATTACCCCAAGTTCTCTGTTTGAGCTGAAAACCCAAGGACGACCCCAGGCCTGGTCTCAAACCACAGTGTGGCCCTACCAGGATATTAGTAGGCAGAGATGGGTAAGACAGAAGGAAAGACGGCTAGAGACACCTTTATATGGTTTTCTGGGTTGAACTTTGTTCCGTGAGCTCAAAAGCGAGTAGGGCTCTAGCTACTACATGTGCCTGGTTTCCTGCCTTTAAAGGGGGCTTCTACTCAGGAAAAGCAGATTCTGAGATGCTTTTAAGGCTGGCTTCTCTAGTCTCTGGTTTCTCCCAAACCTGGCTCACTGCCTCCAGAAACAGGGCACAGTGATGCATGGCTCCCTCATACAGACACAGCATTTTTCACAGAAACACTTCACTCTTTTGTAATAGAGAAAAAATGTTGCCCTCAGTAAAATTTTTCCATCCCATTTTGAACACAGATCGTCAGAGCTATGCACTAACTGGAAAGCCAAAGTATGTCTGATCCCTTTTCTGGAAAATATTTCAAGCCTTTAAACACTGTGAAGTGATTTATATTTGACACACAAAATCCCAACAGAAGAGCAATTCTTCTTGAGACACAGAAAGCGTTCAAAAGTTCCAATCCAGAGAACATGTTAACCCCCTCACTCACAATGGTATTTCTGTTCACAAGCTCCAAGGTAAGACTTTACTGTGTGACCAAGAAATTATACACCTTCAGTATATAAACAGAGTAAGATTTCAAGGCTCCTTGTGTATTAAAAACATGATTGCTGAGACAAGGAGCTGACAGATTAGGCAGTCAGATCAATAATAACAGAGCAAATTCAAAAAGAAACTGTTTCTGCAGAAGAACCAAATATATGGAAACCTCCTGCTCAAATAAACCTCTTCAAACAAAAGAACCGCACATCACAGCCAGGTTAGCCTCTGAGACTGCAAGGCAGCCAGCTGGATCAGTAGACACACACACAGTGGCCGCACCCAGGGACTGCCAGAAGGGACACGGACGCTGAGATCAGAGGCACTGGTGTGAGTCCTGACCGCTTCACTCAGTCACTGTGTAACCTTGGAGAGGTGCTCGATGCTCTCCTAACCTCTATTGCTGCATCTGTAAAATGGAGCAGGAGTCACCCGCTTCCCAGACTTGCCAGGAGAATTTAAGTAAAGGCAGGGAGAGTGCCTGGCTTACGGAAAGGCTCAGTAAGGGACGAGCACTCCTATTTCTTAAAATTTTTTTTTTTTCAACGTTTATTTATTTTTGGGACAGAGAGAGACAGAGCATGAACGGGGGAGGGGCAGAGAGAGAGGGAGACACAGAATCGGAAACAGGCTCCAGGCTCTGAGCCATCAGCCCAGCGCCCGACGCGGGGCTCGAACTCACGGACCGCGAGATCGTGACCTGGCTGAAGTCGGACGCTTAACTGACTGCGCCACCCAGGCGCCCCGCGAGCACTCCTATTTCTAAGCATCCAAAAGATTCGCGCAAAGGTTTGACTGTCTCCTTTGCTAGACTTTCTAGAGGTACATGGAGAGTGACCATGAACTCTCCCTAAAAGAAAGCTCAACCTGGGAACTCATTGCACATTGAAATGTCAGGCACATTCAAGCATATCAATATAAACATTGACAACGTGTGTGTGTGTGTGTGTGTGTGTGTGTGTCTGTGTGTGTGTGTTTCCCAGCATTTTACTTACTGGTTTCTATTTACAACATACCTGATAACATCAAGCACTAATAGAATAAAACTGACATTGCTTCCAAAGGTCTCCTTTTGGATTCTCATTGGATGATTTTTTTGTTTTTGTTTTTGAGAGAGAAAGAGACAGAGCGTGAGTGGGGCTGAGGCAGAGAGAGAGAGAGGGAGGGAGGGAGGGAGACATCGAATCCGAAGCAGGCTCCAGGCTCTGAACTGTCAGCTCAGAGCCCAACGCGGGGCTCGAACTCACAAACCGTGAGATCATGGCCTGAGCTGAAGTCGGACGCTTAACCGACTGAGCCACCCAGGCGCCCCTACATTGGACGATTTTAGGTCAAACCTAATTTTTCAGTTTCTGGGTCTATCCCCACTTAGTCATAAAATTTTACAGTAGGTCATAAAATTACACGGCTACATCAGTAATAATACTAAGAGCTGCCAACTGTGTGCAGCGTGCCAGGATTGTCCTTAGTTCCCGCCTCTGCCCTGCGAGGTGGGTTATGGTCACCCTTTTCTATCTTATAGACAGTTGCAGCTTAAAGTGGTTGAACCTGTCCAAGGACACACAGCTAGAAGGTGGCAGATCAAGGTCTTCAGTCCGGAGCTGTACAATTCCAAAACATGTACTCATTCCACACACACCACTGCCTAGCATAATACCGGGAAGAAAAACATCATCTACTTCAAAGAGGCTAAAGTCCTTTTAAGTGGAGAAGTGAGTTAGCGAGACCCGCACAGATCAATTAATAATGCAAGTCAAAACCACCTATCTTTCTATAATGTCTATGGACCAGAAGTCTTTTACCCCCTTAACCAAGCGTCATGTCTTCTTTCCTCAATTCACTTTACCCATTAAAACAGTCTACAGCTTACAAGGAGGTTGATTTAAAGACTCTGGTTTATGGGGTGCCTGGGTGGCGCAGTCGGTTAAGCGTCCGACTTCAGCCAGGTCACGATCTCGCGCTCCGTGAGTTCGAGCCCCGCGTCAGGCTCTGGGCTGATGGCTCGGAACCTGGAGCCTGTTTCCGATTCTGTGTCTCCCTCTCTCTCTGCCCCTCCCCCGTTCATGCTCTGTCTCTCTCTGTCCCAAAAATAAATAAATGTTGAAAAAAAA